GAAGGAGAAGGAGAAGAAAAGAGATTCTTACATGAAGATATGAGACCATTTTATTCCTTTTTTAAAAGTGGAACAAGCCAGGCACAGTGGCACATGCCTGTAATCCCAGCAGCTCAGGAGACTGAGATAGGAGGATCGAAGGTTCAAAGCCAGCTTCAGTAATGAATGAGGCACTAAGCAGCTCAGTGAGAACCTGTCTCTAAATTAAAATACAATATAGGGATGGGGATGTGGCTCAGTGGTTGAATGCCCCTGAGTTCAATCCCCGGTTACCCTCCCCCCCAAAAAAAAAACCAACTGGGGAGACAGCCTAGGAGTCCTCTGGAAATCATTCTGTGTGGAAAGTGGTCTCTTTCTTGAGATTTCTCTGGTTCAATCCATCTACCCTTTCTAAGGAAAGAATGTGAATTCCTTTCAAGAAAGATAAATGAAAATGAGAAGCCAACAGAAGTTACTTTGATCCCTGGTAGAAAAAATATAGGGTAAGAAAAGAAAAAAAAAAACTGGCAAAAAGAACCCTGTCCATTTATTCTGGAAAGAGTGGCTTGTTTTCTGAAATAACTTTTGGACTAGAAATTTATCATCTGAAGTCAGGTCATTTTGAGTTTTGGGGGGCTTTTTTTTTTTTGCTAAACTAAAGGAGTCAAGTTATTAATATTTGAAAAATGGCTACTATGTGATGCATAGAATAATATAATTCTCCTACCTAAATTAACATCATTGCAGGCTCCATAATAAAGATTTATGAGATACTCATTGTGTGAAATGCTATTATGGAAATCTCTATAGGTCTGTGTTTGGGTTATAACTGGTTTCGTGGTTATGAACCAATTAAAAGCCCGAGTATTTTCCTCTCTTTTACACTCCAGTCTTGTCCCATTTTCTTTTGCCCTTAAACTAGAGCCACCCATTATTCTTAAACCTGTCTGTGTATTGTAAAAATGAAGAGATAAGAAAGTGCCGCCTACTCAGGTTGGCTATCTAGACAGACCATTTTCCTTCAGAGCATCCAACATGGTGGAACAATTTATCATTTCTTCTTCGTAAATCACTTTGATCCTTTATCTCAAGTTGATCAGTGAAGCTGAACATAAATTCTGGTTGTAGTGTCCATGTTCTTATCTATACCCAGAATGCTGGAGGACCTTATAAAAACGTGTGTCTGTGTCCGTGTGTATCTAATAAAATTAGAATATCACAATCAGAATATCTTCTCTGCTTCTAATGTTAAATTACCAGGTCATGAGTTCTCTTCAGTGTGACTTGGCATAATAAAAACTATACACTTGATCAAACCATTCATTCTCTTAATCTGAGGTTGACTTATTTTGGGCTAGAACATTTGCTGGTTTAAACTTGTTAGGGCTGACCCTGGCACAGATGTGTTGACCTTTAACAGTTGCTCATTGGCTGCCCTTTATCAAACCCCCTGCTATGGCAAGTGACTCTCGGGACTCTTGTTCTCTTTTAAAATTATATCATCACTTTTAACATTTGCCAGTTGTCATTATAAGTGTTAAATTTGTACAACTTATAGTAAGCAGATGTTTTCTACACACTTGATCCTATGTAATCTTCACAACTGCCCTGTGAGGTAAGTTTTAGTATTTTTTATATTGTCCCTTATTAAGAAGACTGAGACCCAGAGAAGCAAAGTGAATATGTCCAAGGTTACACAGCTAGTGGCAGGGCTATATCCCTGGCCACCTAAGTCCTTGATGAGTATCCTTTTTACAACACAATAGCTGGAGTTTAACTTTCAGTGTCATTCAGCTTAACTCAGTGATATTTGATAGACTTTTCAAAGACTGAGGAGTTGGAACCCTTGAACTTTCAGTCTAATAGGCAATGTGATATTAAGTAAATTATTTAAACTGGCTAAGAGGTTAATGGCGCCATGTGCCAGATCCAACTCCTATACAACTAAATTATGGCTAGTATAGAATTTTTAAATACCTGGTGACACATAAACATGAAATATTGCCAACAGTACATTATAGAAAGAATTCATGTGATTCATGAACATATAGGATTATATATTACACTGCATGTGCTAAGACTTTGAGAGCTTTCTAAAGATAGTATTTTCTGAAAGATATATGATTGAACTTGAACTCCCCTGGGGACATCCATTTCAAGATCAGAAGTTTGCTTTTTTTAAAAAAAAGAAAAAAGAAAGAAAGAAATGCTTCATGTAAAGCATTTTTCAAACTCATCAGGTAGATAGATACATACATACTTCTTATTTCCATAGCACTATTCAGTGATAGCAAGTCTTAAGTATAATGAGTCCACTAAATGAGAAGGAGATGCCCTTGTCCCCTGAGACTTACTTCCCTTTCTTTTCTTTTTAACATCTATTTGAATGGAAATCAGAGCATGCTGCTTCTCAGAACTGGGGACCCATCGGCATCATCCTAAGAAAATGTACATTTTTCTTTTTAAGTAAAAATAAGTAGAAAATCCTTTTTTAAAAAATTTGCTCCTTTTCTGAATTACTCTTAGAAACAGGCAGTGTCCACACTATAGAGAGTACTTATTGCTGGGAGGCTTTGGTATCTGAAATGTGGCGGTGTCCTGCTGAGGAGGAAGAACACAGCATACACTGTGAGCAGGGTCATAAGGGGACTCCTGACCAGGCTATGATAGCCTGTGCACTGGCATGAGAGACTGTCTTCCACAATCAGTCTCTTTATCTCATGAGGATAAACCCATTTGGCTGGTGATTTTACTTACTTTTTGCTTTTCTAGTCTTTGAGACTAAAAATACTTGTTACAGTATATGGGACTCTTGGCTGATGCTTTTGATCCCAAAACTGCCTTGATCCATAACCACTTGATAAAGTTCTTTTTCAAAGCTCTTCTGCCTGAATATTGGGCATTAAATGAGACCTGTTTAGAGAAAGTATAAAACTCAGAATCCTACTGTTGAAAGTTGGTTTTGTTCTGACAAGGTCAGACATATGACTCTTTACCCCTACCCTGCCAATGAACTGTGAGTGCCAGAGTTGTGACCATGACAGTGACTGAAAAGTTAAGAGAGCCTGGCTTACAGGGCCAACAGTATGTCACACTCTTAACCAATAAAAAATTAACATAAAGGATGATGGATTATGAAATAAGGTATCCTGGCCTACGTTAAGAGCCATGTTTGGCCTGCTTTGTAAATCTGGGCTGTAAACCACTATGGAAAGTAGGTAAACCACTGGGCTGTAGGTAAATCTGGGCTATAAAGTAGGTAAACCTGGGCTGTAAATCACTATGGAAAGACCCTTTGACCACTTTTCTCCGTGCCTCCCTCCCTCTACTCTACTCTCCCTAGCTTCTGGTAACCACTGTTCTCTCAACTTATGTGAGATCAGTCTTTTTAGATTCCACATATGAGTGAGATCATGCAGTTGTCTTTCTGTGCCTGGCTTGTTTCACTTAAATGATGATCTCAGCTCCATCCAAGTTGTCACAAATAACAGAGTTTTGTTCTTTTTTATGTATTTACACCACATTTTCTTTTCATTCATCAGTTGGTGGACACTTAAGTTTCCATTCCTTGGCTATTGTAATAGTGCTACAGTGGACATGGAAATACAGATGTTCCTTTAACATTGTTGATTTCATTTTTCTCCCATTCTGTAGGTTGTCTCTTCACTGTTGTTTTTCCTTTGCTGTGTGGAAGTGTTTTAATTTAAAATAATCTCATTTGTCTGTATACCTATTGGATGCATACCCTGGAATGGGATTGCTAAATTATGTGATGGTTCTACTTTTAATTATTTGATGACACTTCATACTGTTTTCCATAATGGTTGTACTCATTTACATTCCCAGTAACAGATGGGTTCTCTTTTTTCCATATTCTCACCAGCACTTATCTTTTGTCTTTTTTGTTTTGTTTTGTTTTGTTTTATTGGTTGTTCAAAACATTACAAAGCTCTTGACATATCATATTTCATATATTAGATTCAAGTGGGTTATGAACTCCCATTTTTACCCCAAATACAGATTGCAGAATCACATTGGTTATACATCCACATTTTTACATAATGCCATATTAGTAACTGTTGTATTCTGCTACCTTTCCTATCCTCTACTGTCCCCTCTCCCCTCCCTTCCCATCTTCTCTCTCTATCTTTTGTCTTTTTGATAGTCATTCATTCTAACTGCAGTGAGGTGATATTATGGTTTGATTCGCCTTTCCCTAATGATTAGTGATGTTGAATATTTTTTCATATACCTATTGGCCATTTATATATCTTCTTTTGAGAAATGCCTATTTACGTCGATTGTCCATTATTAAATTTGTTTACTTGGTGGAGTTTTTTGTTGTTGTTGTTTATTTTTAAGTTTTATTTTTATTTATTTTTGCTCTTAAGTTGTTGCATTCCTTATACAGTCTGGATATTTGCCACTTGTCAGATACATCGTTTGCAAATATTATCTCCTGTAGGTTGTCTCTTCACTGTTGTGTTTCCTTTGCTGTATGAAAGTGTTTTAGTTTAAAATAATCCCATTTGTCTGTTGTTGCTTTAGTTGCCTATGCTTTGGGGGATCTCTCCAAAATATTGTTGCCCCTTTCAAAACCCTGAAGAATTTTCCCTGTGTTTTCTTCTAGTAGTTTCAGGCCTTACATTTAAGTCTTTTATCCATCTTAAGTTGATTTTTGTAACCGATGAGAAATAGGGGTCTAGTTTCATTCTTCTGCATGTGATTATCCAATTTTCCCAGCATCAGGAAACAGACCCTCAGCCTACTTTGAGGGGTCAGTGTGAAGACTAGAAATAGTACATAGAGTGCAAAGCACAGTCTTGTGTGTAGATGGCCATGAGAAAGTGTTACTATCATTATTACTGTCACTCAGCATGGAACTTCTAAGATCTTTTCTGAAGACTTCACTGTTTGTTCCTAACCAAGTTAAACCTTCCAAGTTAATCCTTTTGAGTACATCGAAAGTCTGGTTGTGAAAGTGTGGGTCTCATATTATCTTGCTTGCTTTCTTTTTTCAGATCTGTAAGAGCAAAGCTAAAGAATCTCAGCAGTATTATCATAGCTTGGCTGTCCGGCAGAGTCTGGCTGTTCATTTTAATATCCAGCAGGACTGTGGTCATTTCCTTGCTGAAGTCCCTAATCGTCTGCTTCCCTGGGAGGATCCTGATGTCCCTGAAAAGGCAGAGGATGAATTGGAAGACAGCGAAGAAGAAGTGAAGGGAGAAACTAATGGAAAAAACACAGAGGCCTGCTCTGAAACAGAGTCATCTCAGAAAGACAGCCAGGGAGTCACAAACAGGAAGCAGAGAAGCCATGTTGTGGTCATCACCAGAGAGGTTCCCCATCTCACTGTGGCCGATTTTGTGAGAGATTCTCTGGCCCATCATGGGAAAAGCCCTGACTTGTATGAGAGGCAAGTGTGTCTGCTGCTCTTACAGCTGTGCTGTGGCCTTGAGCACCTCAAGCCCTACCATGTCACTCACTGCGACCTACGCCTAGAGAACCTACTGCTTGTCCACCACCAGCCTGGCGGAGCCACCCAGAGCCTTGGACCTGCAGAGCCCAGCCCCACCTCATCTTGTCCCATGAGGCTTATTGTGAGCAACTTCTCTCAGGCCAAGCAGAAGAGCCATCTGGTGGACCCTGAGATCCTCCGGGACCAGTCCCGCCTTGCCCCCGAGATTATAACAGCCACCCAGTATAAAAAGTGTGATGAGTTCCAGACAGGCATCCTCATCTATGAGATGCTGCACCTGCCCAACCCCTTTGATGAGAACCCAGAGCTGAAGGAGAGGGAGTACACCCACGCAGACCTGCCTCGCATCCCTCTCCGCTCCCCCTACTCCCGGGGCCTGCAGCAGCTGGCCAGCTGCCTCCTGAATCCCAACCCTTCTGAGCGCATCCTCATTTCCGACGCGAAAGGCATCCTCCAGTGTCTGCTCTGGGGCCCCCGCGAAGATCTCTTCCAGACATTCACTGCCTCTCCAAGCCTAGCACAGAGGAACACCCTGCTCCAAAACTGGCTGGACATCAAGCGAACGCTGCTGATGATCAAGTTTGCTGAGAAGGCCCTGGATAGGGAGGCAGGGATCAGCCTTGAGGACTGGCTTTGTGCTCAGTATCTGGCCTTTGCTACTACAGACTCCCTCAGTTGTATTGTGAAAATCCTGCAACACCGTTAATGTGGCCTGGATGCTGCTTTTACTACATTTCCGTGTTCTTCATGATTCCCTCTGTGCTGCCCCATTATACAGTTCAAAGAAAACAGAGAGACAAACCTTCCATCCCTGTCCATAAACAGATGGGTCTATCAGAAGGCTATCACAACTCCAGATCAAGTGACAAGCGGGGTCTGTTTTCACTTTGCAAAATTCAACTGCACAAACATGCAGTTTCCTTCCCTTGGAACATCTTTCATCCTAGTAGTCCCCCAAATGCAGGTAAAAAATGAAAATGCACCTCTTTGAAGGGACAACTCCTGTGGTGTGAACTCAATGAACTGTGGCCAGCTCCTCCATAATTCTGAAGATCACCTGTCTTTCTATAAACAAGTATTTATTCTTACTAGCAATAGTCAGATGTAACCAACCTCTGCCATCATCCCGTAAATCTCACAACAGACTCCTTCTTCCTTTAGGTTATCAATAACTGAGCCTTTGCCAGGCAGACTTGCATCCTTAGCATGAATCCAGTTTTGGTTACCAGGGACTATATCTTTGTTCCAGCAGACAGTAGAAAGAAAAAGAGCAATCCCTACACTTTAGGTCACAGACCCATTTTCATTCCTATTATCAATAAGTGTGTGCACTGCACGGAGGACAGCTCTAATAGCCTCCTTTCTGCTGCCACTGCCTGGTTCTCCTTCACCTCTGCTCAGTCCCCACTTGTCGATGAAGTTGGTGTTTATCAGCCACTTGCAGCCCATTACAGGGCTGACCCAAGGTGGTGTCACCAGTGCCTCAGCAGGGTGGAGCACAGTTCAGAGCTTATAAATAGCTGGCAGGACATGAGGAGATGATTTTCTTGCATGTGCAATTCTCTAGGGGCCACCAGGGAACAGAGTTTAAAGTACTATTCTTTGATTACTGTCAGAGCTGTCAGCGTTGGCAGCCAGGGCTGGCAGTGTCTGATCAGAGTTTTCCCCCAAGCAGTAATTGGCCGGCTTCCTTCTATCAGTAGCCAGTGTTAACTAGTCGACCAAATGCTATAGACAACAGCCCTGAATGAAACGGCTGTCAGCTTAGCTCTAAGATCTGCTTAGATGGCACTGTGAAGCTGGCTACTTGGATAGCCAGAAGGCAGGGGACAGGGAGAAGGCCACTGATGAGATACTGACCCTACCAGAGAGACCTCCTTCTGGTGTAAGTGGCACATTGCTCCTAGGACTCTCAAATGGCTCTGGAGGACAGCTCACATGAAGGCTGACTGCTGAGGCTGTGGCTGATAGCAGCTGGGCTCGCTGCCGGCCATGCTCCTCTCCCGTGGATGTATGTGCAATCTTTGTATCTATTTTTTAGCTGTATATTACATTGTCTATGTTGCAACCTCACCTGAAGCGAGATCTACAGAAACCTTCCCCTTCTTCCCTCAGACATATTTGCGCTAAGACAAGTGTTCCTTTCACCTGAGTGTGTGTGCGTGTGTGTGCTTGTTGTATACAGAACTGTGAGTATTTGTTTACTTCAACCTTGAAATCCCAAGAGTCACTCGAATGGCATGAGTGTGTGTACAAGTGTGTGCTTCTGTGTGTGTGCACACACATGCTGGAAATAGAAGACAGGCCAGCCTGTGCGGCAGAGTTGATAGTAGTGTTCTCTGCACCTAGGTGGCAATGAAGCCTGGGGCCCTTATCCACCAGCACAGAGTTTTCTTAAAGCCGAGACTGATTGTGCAGTATTACTTAGATGGCATATTAGTGGCCTTGGAAATTGCTAAACTTTAAACATTTGTAATAGCCTTTCAAGTGATTCACCTGTATCAAAGAGGATCAAGAAAGGAGAAGAATGTATTTTATTGTGTTTTTTTTTTTTTAAGAGAATGACATGTGAGGCTCCACGTGAGGATGTCCTTGTCCTCCCAGCCAGTAGTACAGGACTCCCAGGAAAGAGGCTGGTGGGCCCACAGAAGAGTCTTGCCTAGGAATGTCCATGGAGTGGGCATGCCGCTGCAGGCCAGCAGTCCACTCCCTCAGTGTCCTGTGGCATGGCTGCACCTTGCCTGGCAGGCTGGTGTTTGGTTCCTCTTAGCATAGCTCATGTGCACATAACTCCTTGCCTAATTATGCACTGAACTGGCAGCACAGACCACTGCCCATGTCAGCCAGCGCATTCCTGCAACCCGCCCCCTCCCCAACAGTTTGCAAATTGAGACATACTTTCTCAATGTCACTCTCCTGGTGCCTTGCCCATGTAAATTTGAATGTTGACTATTTAATGAGGTTACATATTTAATGTTCCCTGGTCCCTCTGTTTGTTCTGTCTCTGGGTATCTTCCCCCACCACCACCACTCTGTTATGACTGTGTTCAGCCTTCTCTTTCATTCCACAGTAGAACAAGCACGGACACCTCACTACCACGGTCTTAGAGCACTGGGACTGAGCACCTCTTCATACTGCACATAGTTAGTACTATTTCTACATCCATGTTTGTGAAGGGCAAAAGAGGAATGCCAGCTAGTCAGAGAAGGGCCTCAGGCTTCCCAGAGACAGGTGGCTACATTAATTTTCTCTGGGTGATGGCCAAAGAATGTGAGGGGGAGGGAAAGAGGGTGTTACAGGTCAGAACAGAATAGAGAAAAGAACTGCATTTCTAGGTAAGCTGTACAGCAGATGGTCCTCAGAATATTTTTCTGAAATAATTAAATTCAGTCATTCTAACATTATCATAAATATTTTACATTTTCATTTTAATTGTGGTAGGAACTTTTAATTAATTCATCCACTGAAAAGAAATCCTACCCTCTGTAGAACCAACTACACACACACATTTAATATATATATAATATATTACATATTATATAACATATAATATATATTATATATATATATGACTTTTGGATTGTGACTAGTATAGCACTTTAAGTTTTCTCAAGTAACATCAAGTTATTGTCTTCAAAATTGATTGGAAATATTTTTCTTTTCTATTGAAGTCTTTAGTATAGATCCTTCTGTCTATGTTGAGAGTTTGAACAATTAAGCCCACATTGGAATTTTTTCTTAAGCCACATGAGCATGAACAATCTCTGACACATTTGGGTGCTAGAGAGAGAGGCCAGTGGCTAGAGCAACCAAGAGCAAGAATGAATGTATCTCAGAGTGCCTTGCTGGAGTGGTAACCTTGTCTTGAAAGGAAGAGGGTACAGGGTGTTCCACAGAAAGAGTGAGGACTGTGCCCATGGAGGAGAGTCCTTTTGATATGTGCACACTAATGTGAAGCACAGAAGCTAATCAGGAAGAATGACAGCAGGATGAGAAAAAGAGCAATTATGACCTATAGATCGACAATATGAGAATCACAAATGAGGTCCACCAACCCTAAGGCTGAGTTAGGACTGGAAGCCAGCAGCATAGCAGTGAGTTTTGGGATTTGCCCTCAGAAGGTGGACTGGGTGAATGGAGGGGCACAAACATCCCTCCTACCTAACTACTGAGGTTCATGGACGGAAAAGAAACACACCAGGGTTTAGAGTCAGAGCATTTCCATTGCCAGATTAGGCCCGTCTACTTCCAAATGCAATAAATACATCTGTGAACACAGAAATCTCTAAGCCAAGAAGTCTCAACCTGAGGAATGTTAATGATATTTCTGGGAACTACCAAAAATTGTTTTTTAGATTCTCTAATATTATAAAATTCATGAGAGACCTTTGGGGCCCACTAAATAGTAGGGCCTAACATTATCATAAATATTTTTGATAATATTTATCACCCTGCTCTCCAAAGTTGAGCTGTAACTACTTTGGAACTGGGAAGTAACCTGACGTTTAATTTTGCCGGTAACATGCAATTAGGATTCTCCCCTGCCCTTTATCAGCAGTAATCTGGAAAAAAAATACAGACTAGTCCTAGAAATTTGGATGGATTTAGGATCCCACACTGTTATTTCCAGTGATTTAGATGTATAAGCATGAACATACTTGGAGAGGGGACAAGCGGAACTTGACTCCCTGGGCCAACACTGGCATTGCTTTTCATCCCCTCACTAGTGGATAAGGATTGAAGATTCTGCCCGGTTGAAACAGTGAACAGAATGGCTACCTGCAAAACTGGTTATTGGATTTACCTCGTTGGAGCTCATATACTCAAAGGCCCATAGCTCTGTGCTGAGACAAACCCAAGAGCTGCTCTTACTGGAGAGTGCACTGAAGTCCAGCTGTCCGTGCTCACAGCAACACCGCAGGTGGGGACTCCATGGACCAAAAACGATGCCCTGGGGAAGTCAGAAGAGGCGCAATACAAGATCCTAGACAGATTATACCAAAGAAATCAAGCTTTTTTATCTCAATGCTTCTCCAATGAGGAGGCTGAGGTTGACAGATGGCAGGGGAGGGAAATTCACACACATTCCATGTTAGGGTATTCAGCTGATAAATCCATCCTTTAAAAAGCACCTATTTTTTTTAAGCAGTCCATTTTGTATATTAGAAGAAGATGATGATGAAGATGGTAGAATCCTGGAGCAGACAGTGAAGTCCCTGGTATCTAGGGAGAAGTTCTTTCAGCCCTGTAGCACGGCTGTGGCTGTTGTCCAGACCTCAGTGTGAGAACTTCATATAATGCTGAGAGCTGAAGTTTAGGGGTTTGGGGGGTTGTTTGTTTGTTTAAAGAGAGTATAGTTTCAATAGGTTTAAGAACTCTTGAGAAATTTCTTAACATATTGTACCATTTTTATAAACCTTCCTGCAGAGGTGTTTACCATTCAGCATCACCATCATTTAGTATTTATAAGTGCCCAGACTGTACAAGGTGCTATACAGCTGTTACACACTCCCTCTCTGCAGCTGTTTGAAATTAGAATAGATGTTGCATCAGCCACTGCTGGAAGCTTTGCCCGCCTAGGTGGGCTGCAGGGGCCTGCATTCCAACAGCCCTCCCACTCTTCCGCGCTGAGAGCCTCCTAGTCCCTTCCTGCTCACCTCACCCATCCCACCCGCCCCCATGGATTTTTTTAATCAAGGAAGTTTCAGGGAATCAAAAGAAATCAGAAAATTTTTTAACCTAGCAGAACTACAGAGCTATATATTTTGCTATGAATATTATTGTAGTACAGAAAATCCCCTTTGCCGTTAGTGTGTGCTAGCGTGTGTGCGCACTCTGGATAACTTGAATGTTGGACCAGCCCTGTGGCTTCAGGGTTGCTTTGCTGAAAGGTGAAACCACACTGCACCAGGAAGCCTGCTCAGATACTACCTGGTTATCCCTTCCCTACCAGTTCTCTAGAGGATTGTGTGTGAATACACTGGGCTGGGATTTTCTGTTGATGTGCAGGGCATTTTGGCATGAGATGAAGGCAGAAGCAAGATATCATCCATCTCACTGATTTGAATCATGCCAGTCCTCATTCCGATCTCCCTTTAATTCTCCATGGCGTTGCCGACACTCTATATTTGAAAATCCTGTTTCTTTTTGTAGAGCTTAATCTTCCTACTTTCATATTTTAGAGTTGTATTAATCATAACAGGTCCCCTTGGCCAGGCGCCAACCTTTGGTTTGCTGTGGTACTTTGCTGTGTACTCTGTGGCATCATGTTACTGTGTAAATAAATTCATTTTAATATACATTAAAAGCCAGTCTTTGAGCACTTGTCTTTTAACTCTGCCACACAGACATGCTAGTGTCGGTTTGATTGCACACATTGTTGTCTTGCCCCCAGGATGGACACATGTCCTTAAAACAGGAAATGGTAGCTAGTAGTCATCATGCCCTTTGTCCTCTGGAGCCTCTTCCCCTCTGACATGGACTGCATTTTCTCTTCAGTCCCTCTCCAATCTGAGAAAACTGGGCTTCAGAGAGGAAGTGGAGGCTTTCTGCTTCCCTCAGCCCTCAGAAGACTGAAGGTTTGCTGTGTGAGGTTGCCCCCTGCTGACCAGTCACCTGTAGGCCTCCTGGGTTTGTGCTGCATGTGAGAGGCTTGGTTAACCACCAGATCTGGCTGACTCTCCCAGTGGAAATCACAGAGCTGTGCAGATCATATGAGCATGGGCAGGGCCTGTACGCATCATCTACAGAATTCACCCACGCCTTTGACCTGTTCTGTAAGGTGCATGGTCACACGCCTGTTCCTCACAAAGGCAGACAAGCTAATTGGTGGAAACTGCAGAGTAGAGAGAGGAGGCCACCTGGCTTAAGCAGGAAGAGCCAGCCATCAGCAGTGGTAGCAACAGCTGTCACATTATTAGCATGGATGAAAGTGCAAGTATGCACACTTTAAATTTAGAACACTGTTCTAACCTACAGTGGACGACGCCTCCAACCCACTGTTTCCTGCTATTCTTCACTGGCAAGCAAGCACTCTGAAATTTGCAGACATTGGGTTTTTTTTTTTTTCAATATTTTTTTTTAGTTGCAGTGGAATACATATTTATTTATTTTTTTAATGTGGTGCTGAGGATCGAACCTAGCATCTCACAGACATTAGGCGAGCGCTCTACCATTGAGCCACAACCCCAGCCCCTCCAGACATTGTTTTTAAGATATATTCCAGAAGAGTGACTGCCAGGCTCAAGTTTTGTGTTATTGAGGAGCAAAATGCATACTGGTGTGGACCTAAAAATTGTGTTGCCCCGGGGGGCTGGGGATGTGGCTCAAGCGGTAGCGCGCTCACCTGGCATGCGTGCGGCCCGGGTTCGATCCTCAGCACCACATACCAACAAAGATGTTGTGTCCGCCGAGAACTAAAAAATAAATATTAAAATTCTCTCTCTCTCTCCTCTCTCACTCTCTCTTTAAAAAAATAAATAAATAAAAATAAAAATTGTGTTGCCCGGGGCCTAGGAGAAAGGGTCACCAACAAAACCAGACAAGCCTGGGGACACGGGCCCTTCCTGCTTGTGGAGAAGAGCCTAGGGGATGGCCCGCACAACATGCAGGTTTCTGGGGGTAAAGAGCTGAAGAGGTAGATTGGGTGGTCTTCACTAGGTTGGGTGGCTACCTCATGAGTGCCACCCCAGGGCCCTAAAAGGATGTGGGCCAGGGCATGGTGGGACCAGTTTGGGGTTGGCTTGGCCAGACTCCAGGGGAGATAAAACAGACCAGAGGAAACCTGAGCTCCTGTTCTTCAGTGAGACCACTTTGTCTTAAGGAAAGAGAGTCTGGAGAGAAGTCCTCTCCCCTCCAGCACCACCGCCCTCCTGACTGGTGATTGAGCACTGACACCTGCATGGCCTTTGGCATTACATGCCTGCAGTGACCGCTTTCAACCCAACAAGCATTCTTTTTGCTTTGTTGTTGTTGTTTTCTTTTTTTAATTGTTTGTTAAGCTGTTTTTGGTACTTGATATGTAACCCAGGGGTACTTAACCACTGAGCCATATCCCCAGCCCTTTTTGTGTTAATTTTGAGACAGGTTCTCACTAAGTTGCTTAGGGCATCACTAAGTTGCTGAGGCTGGCCTTGAACTTGAGATCGATCCTCCTGTCTTGGCTTCAGGAGCTGCTGGGATTACAAGCCTGCGCCACCCCACCCGGCCACACAGATTCTTGATTTCTTTCCTACCTCAAATAAACTGGCAGTGGGAGCTCCCCAAGTGCCTGGGGTTCTAAGTGTACACCCTCTGCTCCAGGAGCTTTTTGCCTGCTCTCCAAAGCCCATCAAATTATGCTTCCTTTCAAGTGAGCCTGTGCTCCACTAGTAAAGGAGCTTCATTAGTGCCTTAGGAGCCAAGAACTGCAGTTGGCAGATCACAAATTGTCGTTAAGAGCAGCTCAAGGCAATTACAGCTGAAACTTAAAAACTGATTTCATACTAGCGCGGGGGCCAGCAGTGGGGAGTTGGCTCCAAGACCCAACTCTCTCAGATTCACAAACTCTTAAGAGGAAAAAGGTTGCTTGGGCACAACTCAACTTCCTGGAGGTCCCAGATAACAGACCTACATTCCAAGGACTGCTCCTCTGCCCTCTGGAAGTTGCATAGAAGCAGCCAGTGAGTGGCAGTGGTCCTCATCTAGGTTTAGGAATCCAAGCAAGGGTGCTGGGGTGTAGCTTAGGGGGAGAGTGCTTGCTTAGTGTGTGTGAAGCCCTGGGATCAATCCCCACTCCTGCAAAATTAATAATAATAATAATAATAGTAATACAGGTAGGGCTGGGAGGACTTCTATGGAATCCACCAGCAGGAGTGTCCGGGGCCTCTACAGAAGGAACTTGCCTGCCAAGAGGGGAGTGGAAGGACTCTACCCCAAGGGGCAGTGCTCTCTGAAGTACTGTCCCTAACCACCATCTGTTACTCACTAGTCCACGCTTCAGCTGGAATCAAGGGGAGAGTGAAAACCTTCATGCCTGCAGTTCATATTTCCATCCCCTCTCACCCAAGTGCCTCTTACACTCTCCAACAGAGGTGGGGTACATGGGAAACCTGCCCAGCCCCAGCCTCTGCCTCTCTCCATCCTGATCTAGTCTGACTCCATGGCCACTCCTTGTCAGCCCTCTTGGCAGTGCCCTGTTGATGCCACCTGATACTTAGGACAGAGCCCCACCCCAGGCATCAGACTCAGCTGGCCTCCCCTCTCATAGCCAGGGTCTGAGTCTCTCTGCTTCCTCCACTGCCTCCTCTTGCTCTCTGATCTCCTGAAGGGCAGGGCAGCTGGCCTTAACCAAGCACCTCTGTGCTCCTGGCCTGGGCGCTGCTCCAGAGCCCCAAAGCTACAGTGAAAACTAACAGTAAGGAACCCGAAGCAAGTGCTTCCCACAATCTGACCTCATTCAGCCACCCATGTAATGGCCCCATTCTTCCTATTTTACATATAAGGAAAATGAGGCCCAACCAAAAGTCAGGATTTGAACCTACATGTGTGTGACTTCTAGTGCTGTGCTCTTTCTTTCACTCCATTTCTGCCATCTGTGTGCAATAGAGCAAGGGCAAGGTGGGCAGGAGGACAGTAGGAAGGAGGAGAACAAGAAGAGCACTCCGGGGAAGGTCATGGGGACCCGCAGGAGCTCAGGCCTTTTCTGCTGCTGTTCTTCCACATATTAAGTGCTACGTGCTAGGGGCCTGATGTTGGCAAGGAGTACAGGAGCTACACCCCAAGTCTGACAGGAGGGAGGACAGAGGGGAGTACCACTGGATGGGAGCCAGGGACAGAAGCTCCTGCCCACTTCTGTGTGCCTGGGGAAAGATTTGGAGGAATGAGACCAGGGTATGGAATAAATTGTTCTTCCTAGAACCAGAGGCCTGTCTGATGGGCCAAACATCTACCTGGGAGACAAAGGCAAGGCCCTCCGGAAGCTCCCTCTGAGCCCTGGGATGCTACCAAGGCCTGATTTGTACTGGAGCCCTGAACATGGGCTCGTGGTGGGTGGCCCCAGCCTCCCTCTCAGGACCTCTCAGGACCCGCCTTCATGTTCTACACTGGGCTAGCCAAACCCTCCCTGCTTCCAAAACCAGAAACCTGGTGTGGAGAGATCTTGGGCAAAGGTCCTGACTTCTGTGAACTCCACTCACCTCCTCTGTGGAAGGAGCCCTGACTGCCCCATCCTAGGCTGGTTCTGGGAGAGTGAATCGGCATGTTAATGGTTGTGCAAATGTGCCAGTCTCAAGTGGGAAGTGGAGCCCATCTGAGGCCTGCAGGAGACAAGGAAGGAGAGGGGTGTTGTACCGGTCCAGACTGTCAGGGAAGAGGGGCCTCTGCAGGAACAGCTGTGACCTGGAAAGGGAAGTCTTTAAGGGACTCCACCCCAGCAATGCCTGCTCTCTGGAGCTCCAGCCAACCACTGGCCAGTTCATCCTGCCTTGCTGAGCAGGCAAGGGTCCCTCCCTGGAACACCTGTGTGTCCAAAGGTCAGGCTCATCAGGTGCCTGTCTAAATGAGGAACCACAGGGAGGTCAAAATGGACCCCAAGTAGAGGGTGTAGAGGGGCCGTGCTGAGCCTGGGGGTGTGGGGTGCCCCTCCCCTGGAAGGCGCTTGTCTGAGGAAGGTAGCTGCAGAGCGCTAACCACACTTGCTTAATTTTATCCTCACCACAACCCTCTGAGGTATTTTCTAGAATTATGCACATTTTACCGCTGAGAAAACAAGCCAGAGAGGTTTTGTCTGCCCAGGTCACTAGTAAGGGAAGTAGGGTTTGTCCTCCGTCAGTCTGACTCCCCCTCCCAGAGACCTAGCGCTCCAGCCATCCTCCCTCACTCTCCTGCTGTCACCCCCAAATCGCCAGTGGTTCAAGGTGCCCAGTGAAGAACACCCAGTTTCAGAGTCCTGCTGTCTGCCAACCAGTTGCCCATAGCAGCCTCCAGCCTCTAGGCCGGCCTCTGTGCCTCCCCCATCAGAGACACCTTGAGATTCTCCACATGGTCTCCGTCTTTCTTCTCCCTGTTCTTTGGGCCTGTTCATCTGAGAAGCTTTTGGGAGAAGGCTTTGGGCAACTCCCCATGGAAATGCTCCCTCACCCACCTGAAGTCACCAACTTGCTCCCCAGACCCAGCTCCTGGCCTGAGGTTTATGGGTTTGCACCCCCCTCTCTGTGAGCTGCGGGGAGCCACTGGCTTCAGCTGCTTTCCTCCATGTCCAATTCACACGTTCAAGAACTGGCCACAGCTGCTCCTTTGTGCCTGGTTCTAGGCTGGGCTCTCCTACCCAAGA